TTGGCTCCTCAACATAAGTCAAACCTTCCTTTAACTCTATAGGATGCTCACCAATACATAGGATGGGTTAAGTATTAGAAACATGAAATATGTTATGTAAACGAGATAACTCTGAAGGTAGATCCAATTTATAAGTTATAACCCTAATCGTTTCTAGAATCTCATATGGCTCAATGTGTCTCAAACTAACTTTCTTTTCTTGTCAATTCTTAAAACCCTCTTCCAAGGAGATATCCTTATAAATAACCAATCCCCCGCTGCAAACTCTAAATGTTTCTTACGCTTATCTACATAAATTTTTTGTCTACTTTGAGCAACTTTCAATTGATCTTGAATCACCTTGATTTTCTTTGCAGTTATTTGCACCAACTCTAAACCTAATATTTGTCTTTCCCTTAGCCCACTCCAACAAACTAGAGTCCTATACTTTCTTTCATAGAGTGCTTCATATGGCATCATGACAATGTTACTTTGATAACTATTATTATAAGCAAACTCTATTAAAGAAAAATGAGTATCCCAACTACCTTTGAATCCCAATACATAAACACGTAACATATCTTCTATAGTTTGAATCATGCGTTATAACTGTTGACTCGCATCTGATCTGAATAGTGGTATACACCGAAGTATAAATGGTCAAAATTGTAATATAATAATCAGTTTAAGTTCAAGATTGAACCCACAGGGAGCTAATTTTAGAAATCAAAATAGAAACAATGAGTTGTTACAGTTACAGAATGTAAAGAAATAGCTTATGGTGCGAACTTAGAACAACTTAATTAAAACGGTGGAGATTTGATAATTAAAAGATACGAAATGCAATTATTAAAAGATACCCTTCAGTTCGGGGATTCCATATGCATTATATTGACTAAGTACTAGAAATGCCACCTTACAACAATTAACCCTCATTTTACTGAAAAGTCAACGAGTAGGTATGGTGTATGTTAAATTATATCCATCAACTGATTAGGTTTGCTGGCACGTATATTTCTATGCAACAATCAAATAACTCAAGTAAACCAGAAGACAAGCCATTCAGGAGGAATATTTGAAATACTCAATCGACGTATCTGTACCATGCAACAGTTAAACAACTATAGTAGACTGGAAGACAAGCCATTCAGAAGGAATACTACAATGATTCAATCGACAGGTTGATGTTTCATTAATGACAAGATTTCGGTTTACGCATTAAATCCAAAACATTGGCTATGTCAAGACTTAACTCGTCTATAACCAATTAATCGACTGTTACATAAAGACCAACCATATATACATCATTGTATTTTATGCATGAAGTACATAACTAGTAGATAGTATGATATGTAGCATTAAGTACTGCTCGGTGTTCATAACCATGAACATATAAATAAATGTAACCATCCATCAATAGGGGAGGTATATATAACAATAAAACATATTTATAATATCGACATTTTCATAACTTAAACAATATCTTACGTATGTTCACCCTTCATCGAAGGGTAAAAGTGGATTACTTACGCCCCATTGCTATAGATGAGCAAGAGGTGCGAGACAGTTTCATTACAATACAAAATAAAACACAGACACTCATTCCCTGAAGAATAGTTAAAACACGACTACTTTTAATACCGATTAGGGCACACAAATGGGAGAGGTTCAACCCTCTAAGTAGAAATGAATAACATAAATGTAAAAGAAAGAAAAAGCTTCGACTGGAAAGTAGGCTGAAAAGTTGGCTGGAAGTGGTTTAGCAGGGTTTCGCCGCACTGTTTCTGACTCTCTCTAGATATCGCTGACTCTCCGACTTCCCTCCACTCTCTTTGGATTTTCCATTTGTCAAATTTTTTGAAATGAAGCTAGCAAGACCTATTTATAGGCACTAGAGGAGTTGGTTGGCTTGGAACTGGTCAATTAGGTGTCTTGTTGCATCATCTAGCCAATGGGAGAAGAGAAAGGAGGTGAGGCGGTTTACTGACCGTCCGGATGCCACCACCACCATCTGGACGGTGGCAATACACTGGTTTTTGGTGGTTTGCTTTCTTGGCTGATTTCTTGATATTACACTTTGATCCCCTACTGGTTTAGGCTTTAACAGTTTGTTCCCCTGTTAGTTTAGGCTTTGAAAGTTTGCTCCCCTTTACTTTGTAGTAGTTACGCACAAAACCATGAAAAGTAAGATAATTAACGCATTAACCCTAATTTACGCACTAACCCTAATTTCAGCTACTTTGCCTCTTTTAACTCATTTAACTAACACAATTAACCTCTTAATCTAATTCAATTACGCACTAATTAGGGTTAATTAACTGTCCGTCAGTTTAAGGATGATAAGTTGTATTGAACGTAAAGGTAGTACCCACGGTTTGTTGTAATCAAAACTTGGATGTAAATCTTGGGCTTCTATATGCCACAATAGGTAAAGGGGCACCATGTAATCGTACAATCTTATCAACATCAATCTGAGCATACTTTTCAACTGAAGAAGAGGATTTGACTGCCAAAAAATGAGTAGATTTCGTCCATCGATCCACAATAACCCAAATAAAAATCATGCCCACTCTGGGTTCATGGAAGTCCCAATACAAATTCCATAGTAATATCCCTTACCCCGCGTTGATGATTTATTTGATTAATTACAAGATGCTAGTGTATTTAGCAAGGTTGATCTCAATGTTGGCTATCATCAGTTAAAGATAAGGAATAATGATGTTTCAAAGACAAATTTTTGAACCAAGTATGGTCATTTTGAATTTTTGATGAAGTCGTTTGGTCTAACAAATGCACCAACTGCCTTTTATGGACTTAATGAATAGCCTTACCTAGATTTGTTTGTTATTGTTTTCATTGATGATATTCTAGTGTATTCTTGTAGTTAGGAAGAACATGAACAACGTTTGAGGATTATTCTTCTATAGAATTTATGAGAAGAACAGTTTGTACGCCAAGCTAAGTAGAGTTGTTTGGTTGGATTGGGTTATATTTTGGGACATGTAATTTCAGGTGATGGTATTTTTGTGGATCCCAAAAAAGTTGAGGGAGTGGTAAAATGGCAAAAGCCAACTACCGTAACAGAGATTTGAAGTTTCTTGGGTCTAGCTGGATGTTATCACAAGTTTGTACAGGGGTTTTCAATATTAACAGTACCTCTAACACAGTTGACTTGGAAAAGATGTGAAATTTGAATGGGATAATGCTTGTGAACATAGTTTCCAATAGTTGAAGCATAAATTAAATTCAACTTTAGTTTTGATTATACCATCAAGTAGTGTTAGATTTGTGACATATAGTGATGCTTCTCATCAGGGTTTGAGTTATGTTTTGATGTAACATGGTAGGGTGATTGCCTATGCCTCTAGACAAAGTGAAACAAAAACACGCGCGCGGGGCTAGGGGGAGTTAAGGAGATCCAGGCTTTGAGCTTTGTAAGCAACAAAATGGTATTTTTTTGGCCAAGTATTTAAACCCATTCCATTCTCTCTCTTCTACCAATCGCCTCTCACCCTCCATCTCGTCTCTGTCTCTCCTCTTTATTCTCTCCATCACCTCTGTCCATTCAACAAATACTGAAGGTCTTTACCGGCGATTGTCTCTTCTCTAAAGATTGTTTCTCTCTCTCTCTCTCATTTATGTATATATAAAATGTACACATAAATAGATATACACACATATATTTTTATGTATAGATTTGTGTGTCCCCCCTGTTTTGATGTGTGTGTATGGGTCTCTGCAAGTGTGTTATGTGTGAGTGTGTGTTCTATGCGTCTGTGTGAGTGTGTGTGAGTATGAAAGTGTTGAAGTGGTTACTAAACATATATATATATATATATATATATATATATATATATATATATTTTATTTTTTTTTATTTTTTTTGGTAAAAATAAATAACTTCCAAACATATTTTCTATTTTCAATTTTCGAATAAAAACACAACATTTTGATTCGCTTTCATTCTTTGTTCCGTCTCCTATGGTTCAAAGGGACTTCAACTCCAAATGATAGTTTAAATGGTAATAATAACGAGTTAGAAATTTAAACATCATAAGTTTAAATTATTACAATCTATTGGGACTGACTATGAGAAAATTTTCTCCTATGAATTTCCTAGTTCTAGTATAAATGACCTTTTTTTAACCTGAAGAGATAATTAGTTAATGTGCTTATAAACTGGTTTGAACAAAAAAAAAAAATTGGTTTGAACATCACTAAAAAAAAAAAAAAAAAAAAAAACTCATATGTTTAGATTTAGAAACTTAGAACAGCCAATGCTCCAAAACTGTACAGATTCAAAGCAAACGAAAAAGAACAGAAAAAAAAAGGGGCAACTAGAAAGAGACAATAAGCATGAGCAAGCCAAGCCTAAGCGGCAAATCTTCCTTCAAATCCCACCATTACTCGCAGCCACACAGGTAATAAACAAAAACACTTACGTAATATATTCCACCACAAATTTCTTTTTGTCGTTCTCTCTTTCTTCAACACAAAATTTCCACCCATAAACTCATCACCCAATTAGTGCCACATGTATTTACTTGTGTTTTACATTCTATATTATTCACGAATTTTCAATCATACAAGAAAAGCCAGAAAATCTCTATGTTCTACAGACCCCACATTCAAATTTGGTTTCTGGTTTCTTTCGACTTCTATTTTGTTCCCATCTTCATCTTTTGTTTATGTGTTGTACTGAACAGAAAACTGTGCTTTAATATGGCTAGCGTGGTTTAGCCTTCTAGGGGACTATCTTTTTAACTTAATATAGTTCATACATAGACCAGACGTTCCAATTTGGTTTCTGGGTTTCTTACAACTTCCATTTTTTCGCCATCTTTCTTTATTGTCTATGCAATATACTTAGCATGGAGCTGTAATTGGTTTTAGCTAAAGTGGTCCTGTTGATATTAGTTCATATACATTTACACAGTTTTGTGGAGTAGAGCTTGTTCATCACTCGTTCTGAAGTTCTGAAACTTGAAAAGGTTGTCTTGGAGCCATTGCTTGTATAAGCCATGGCTTCTGTCATAGCAAATTTATGGGTATCGCCTTATTTTGCTTTACATTCGGAGGGTAAACCTTGGTCAAGTGTTGTAGTCCCTGTTAGGAGTACTTTAGGCAGTGGGGATTCAGCAGTCTTGTCTTCAAATTCTGTGGAAGTTAATGGCAATTCTTCTGTTGGGGAGAAGGGGAAAGCTGAGTCTTTAATTGAAGTGGGTAACGAGCGGTTGGGTTCGGCTGTTGAGCAGAAGTTGAGTGTTCAAGATGTAGATAAATTGGAGGTGTTGTGGGATGATGGGTATGGGACTCAGAGTGTGAAGGATTACCTTGATTTAGCCAAGGAGATGATTAAGCCTGATGGTGGACCGCCCCGGTGGTTTTGTCCTGTCTCCTGTGGGTGCCCCTTAAAAGATTCGCCTGTTCTTCTGTTTTTGCCCGGTAATCAACTTGAGCACTGGTTCTAAGCTCTTATTGGTTTTAGGCTTTCTGGAAATGACTTATGCAAATGATTCGATTTCGGTATTCGGGTTTCTTGGATTTTAAGAGTTGTTTCTGTCTGATGATATCATACACTTTTTTTTTTTTTGTAGAATATGCAATTTTAAGTTTTTGAATGTTCAATTAAAAACACTAAAAGTTTGCAGTGTTGATGCATGCAGGGATGGATGGTGTTGGATTGGGCCTCATTTTGCACCACCAAGCTCTTGGAAAGTGAGAATCTGCTTTGTGTTAACTATATGCAAAGCTTTGTTTTATGGAAGATGCATTTCTATACTTAGATGTGCGAATGCTTTTGTTTTTTGACAATTGGTTATTGCAATGTTAAATAAGCACCATATACTAGTTCTAGAAATTCGTATGATTGTTTGAATGTAGAGTCAATATTCTCAGGTTTCCTAGTATTTAATTTTTCTTTGGTATCTTCCCAGATATTTTTTGTTAAAGATTTTCAAATCAGTCTCCCACTCAACACTGTTGAAGATTTAAGGGACTCCCTGTTCTCTTGTTGATTTTACAGATAGTCTTTTGTTTTTTTGTCAGTATTTACCCTGCTAGCACATATGCTGTGCCTTACTCATTTCTTTCTCAATGGTGTATGTGCTATTCATTGAAAGGAAAGAAACTCGAACTTGAAAAGTTATATTTTACCAATGTCAGTTGTAAATTGTTTAGAGCATTTTGTCCAAAAAGGAGGCAGCAAGCTGATCAGCATGGTTTATCATTATGTCAGTAACCTTGCCGTCGTTACGTTGCCACTGTCATGAAGAATAATTTTTCCTAAAACAACTAGAGCCTTAGTGGATCCAAGGTAAACAGTAAGTAGAGGGAAATCAGATTGTTTCAATATGGTGCACTTTACGTATGCTCCATCTCCATTTTCCATGACCTTGTTATGATTTTCCTTTTTACAGTATCCAATTATTGCACAGCAGTGCTAGTCCGTGGAGTAGTTATAGAATTGATGATTGAACAAATAATATACCTCCAATTATTACAATAGCACCGAGATGGTGGGGGAAATGCTTAAAATTCATGAAAAGTTTGGAGTTTAGGTCTGGTTGTACACATGATTTTTGCTTGTGAGAATTCTGATTTAAACTTATCAGTGACATATTTCCTATTTGTTCTAGCTATTATAAATATGCATGGATAAGTTTTTGCAATGCAGAGGAATGCAAACAGAAGATAAATCTATTCAACCGGAAGTATGTGATTATATGATATATTTGGATAAATTTACATGTGTAATAGATGTGCATTGGCAGTATATCCTTGAACAATTTTTTTCCCCATTTTTCCTGCATATTATATTGATTTTCGGAGAGCTATATTATATTCTGCTATGAAGCACGGACATCTCAAGAATGTAATGTATACGTGTCGGACATCGACACTCTTTGGACACTCTTGGACACTTGTTCGATACTCCTTTATCCGTGTCCATAATTAAATGATAAAATTTTAATTTTGGATACATATCGGACATTTCTTTACGATATGTCTACTACAAAACAATAAACCAGTGTTGACATGTGATTAACAAAGTTTAAAAATTTGACTAACAAGTATCTTATATTATGAGAGAAGATATAAGTATCACGACTAGATATATTGAAATTGTACTCAAAATATAACAATAAAAGTAAAAGATACATAAAAATTTTAAAAAAGAGGAATTGAGAAAGTGAAACCAATCATTTAAATTATATATGTTGGATACATGTTGTCTAAAAAAAAATTGATGACTATTAACTATTAATATTCCTTCTTTCAAAAATTCACACTAGATAACTTGACATAATATTTACCTATCGTAAAGTATCGAGTTCTTTTATGAATAATGTATCACTATCACTATATTTGCGACAAATTATATAGTTTTACATAGAAAACAAAATTATTTATAGTGTGTTCATAACATGTTTGTGTCCTACTTTCTTTAGAACTGTCGTGTCGTATCCATGTCCATGCTTGTTAATAATTTGTATATGGTTAGCATAAATGGTGCTTAAACTCAGTCTGATGCTGTAATTTTACATCATGTTCAATTATATTTCGTTAACATAGGATTGCATTGAATGTAGGGTCTTTGAAGTTCGATGCCTGCACATTCCTGTTTATGACCGAACACCGTTTGAAGGTCTTTATCTGCTCTTGCTTTTAAATTATTTTCTTTGTTGTTTATGAAGTGGATTTGTACTTTATGAAAATGTTATTCGAAGTTTTTAATTTGCTTTTATAAACTTGATTATCTATATTGTGTAAGAACTTTTTTTTTGCATTAAAGTTGATTATTCTTTGAACCTTATGTGTTAAACAATGTTACAAGGCTTCATGATATATTGCACACATATATCAGGGTGATCTCCTATTTCATAACTTACATGATTAGTATATCCATTTTCTCTTCTTAGTTGCTTAATGGTATTCATCTTGTGATGGAATTTATGACCAATGGAAGTTGTTTTTTTTTCTTTCTTCTATGTCTTTCCTCAAAATTTATACTTCTAAGTTCTAATGCACATCAGAAGGAACGTGCCACTTTAAGGCAAGTAGCCTAGGTTCAAGCCACCCTTTTACCCAATAGTCTTTTGAAGTTCAAGAAGAAGAGGAGATGCCCATGTGAATTTATTTTATTCTTATACAGTTTTTCAATGTTTATATTGTGTCTCCATGGAAATGTTGCTTAACCAAATAGACTGATACAAATAATCAGAATATATCAGGAACAATATCATGGAAAATTGGCAGGTCCTTGCAGAATTAATGTATTTCAGAGAAATCAGTTTCTATTTTTGTATTCTTATATATTTTCGTGTTCCCCTCCTCTCTCTCTACCTCTCCATGTTTCTTCCTTTTCGTGCTATACTCCTCGACCTGTTTTTTATTTTGTTGACTGCTCCTTCTTTTTGGACTTCTTCTTCCTCTTCTTCATCTGTCTTTGTCTTCGTCTTCTTCTTTGTCTATATACAGAACCATATATATCTTTACATATACAGGTATATTAGAGGACTCAAAAAAGCAGTGACCACGTTTCCGATTTCCACTAGGATTACTTTAGAGCTATTTTATCTCTTAAACTTCTTTTTTTTTTTTTTTTGTGATTAAATTTATATTAAAGTGTCCACAACGAGAGAAGATTATAAACTATAATTTTCTCCACACCAAAATTAATTTTCTACCTGTGACAATTTCACCAAAAATTATTGGCTACACAATAATTGTTCGACAATAGTGAATTTTAAATAGAGGCTAAATATTATATTTGGGGCATTACAAATTTCAGGGGAAGGTACCTAACCCAGTACCCATATGTGCTAAGATCCAATCAGACTGGTTGGATCAGTTATTAGGCCATAAAAAAGAACATCTGAAACAAGTCTAATATTTATGGAATCTATTTCCTTCAGAAATTATTCGGTAATCAAACTATAACACTGACTAAACTCCTGCTTAGTATTAAAGTACTATCTCAGAAGCTTAAATCCAGGCTAAGGATTTTCTAATTTCTAATTACCATTTTTGTAGCCTGTGACATTGTTCTACCTAAACATTGGCTGGAATGATTTTACAGTTGGTAATTTTTGTCAGTAGATTTAAATACAATAGTTCAAGGACATATGGAACCATTTAAAGTGTTTTCAGGATTTTCAACTCCCCAGTCTTAATCTTAGTTGCTTGTTTAAATTTTGTGCAGTTATTTTTCTTTATATTCTCTGCAATCATAGTGTTATTGTTTCCCTTTAGTTGCCATATCTATGATCAGAATATATGGATACTGTTTGCTCTATCAATGGCACTAGAAGAAATATATTAGCATATTTTTTGTTATCAGCGGAAGTATCACTGCTATCTCATTTGGTCAATGTAATTGTTTTTTTTTTCAAAATAATTTCAAGGATATTCTGAAGAAGGGGGTGCTTCCCCTTGGCTTATTGCACTATTCTTCTTCTGCTTTATTGTTTAGAAGTTTTTCATTTGCTTTCTTGTAATACAGGTAAATAGTATTTATTTAATATGATTCAATGCAAAATTTTTCTAGTTTGTGTGATTCTTTTGAGTGATTTCACTGAGGTTAGGTATATTTTACGTTTTGCAAACAAAGCAGAAGTTACATGATTGGAAACTATCTACTACTTATGAAAAAACATAGGCTTTAGAGATGGGAAACAAATTGAAATTTATTGGCTGATAACTTATGAACAAAATTTATATATTTGGAAACGAAGAAAATATATAAGATCAAATATTGAAAATAATAGCCAGCATTATATTAACAGCCCCTTGGTACATTTTGACAAATTTCCATGGAATTTCTTGTCACCTTATAGTGCTGAGGGCTTCGTTGAGTCCCTGAGCAATAGAATTTGTTTGTTCCTGTGTGTTTGTCTGTGCATTATTATGTGCCTTTATGCACATTCTGTTCTTATATGTCTTCAGTCGCAAGATAGTATGGTATAACAAGGATTTAATGGGGTATTGCTGAATGGTAAATTTTGTTTTATGAAGATTTGGTGAAGTTTGTGGAAAAAGCTGTGAGGCTCGAACATGCTTCATCTCCAAATAAGCCAATTTATCTCCTGGGAGATTCCTTTGGAGGATGTTTAGCACTAGCTGTTGCTGCTCGTAATCCTATGATTGACCTAGTAGTGATATTATCGAATCCAGGTCAGATTTCAGAGGTGCAACTTTGTCATTTGATTGTACTATGTTTATATGTTATTTGAACACCTGTAGTCCGTATACTTTGGTAGCAACTGATGATTTAGACTATCCATTTCAGCAACTTCATTTGGCAGGTCACAGCTGCAGCCTTTGCTCCCTCTCTTGGAGACTTTGCCAGATGAATTTCATGTCACAGTCCCCTATCTTCTTAGCTTCATAATGGGTACATTTCTAAATAACCTGTTGCTTTCACTTGTGGTTGGATTCAAAATCTTAGTAGGATTTGAATCAATCACAACAAGCTGGAAACATTTAAATGCGTCAAATCGTGGCATGCTGGTTGATTGGTTGCTGTGTCAATGACATGAGCACTTCCTCATTGTGATATGAGTGCCAGAATTTGAAGCGAGTTGGTTGCCTTATGATTTGTGGAATGAAATTCAGTAAACATTCTTTATGTCGTCTGGAGATGTTTTTCTAATAAATCCTCACGTTTGAGGAATATGCAGTGAGTGGCATACAATTGCAATGACAATGACCAACATTGGCTCTAGGTCTGCATGCCTCTATTACCGAATATCCCCATTATGTGCCCAAAACAACCATCACCTGCACCACTAATATGCCATTATTAACTAGCTGCCACCACTGTAGTATCAGCTCCACTGGTACCAGCTCACTTTATCAGCATTGCTGTTGCTTCGCCTCCATTATCGAAGGCACCATTGGTTTTTTGAGCAATTGTGATATGACCAGCACCACCATCACCCCCCACTACCCCCTCTCTCTCCAATGCCAATGTACCCTGTCATCCTTGCCGGTGTTCCAACATCTGAGTATTGGGTAGCAATTATCAGTCTTTAAAATTTTGTCTTACTCGAAGAACCACTAAAACACATGCTCATTCAGTGGTGTTAAATTCTTGGGGAGATGTATTCTTATGTTATAAATTGACTGAGTGCTTATTTCTTCAGGCAATCTAAATTCTCTATACCCTCCTTGCGCCCCCCCACTCCAAAATATTAAAGTGGGCGTGTACATTGCTTTATGTTAATATGGTCTTATTTTCCTTTGAATTGATCTAGAAGAGTTCAATTCTTCAATGATTTACCAGGACATCAAACTTAGTTTTGCTTCCCATTATGGCCTTGTCAATGAACTTGTTTATCTGTTTTCTGTTGTTTGTGGGGTCCTTTAGAGTATACCATATGCATACAATGTTTCCCTACATCAGCCCTTGGGAATGCCATATTGGTTGAAGAATTGGTCTGTCATGTTAAGGGCACATTTTTTTGTTGTTCTTTCTATTAATTAGCAAAAGGCCAAATGATACTCTAAACCATTTCACCTTTTGTTTGTCTTGCAATCTTCTGAATTTTTATTGGCAATGTTATCTATTCCAATTACAAATGTTGTTGGTTTGTTTTTAGCTAAGAAGTATAGGTATGAACACGAGATGCGGATACGACACGATAGAGACACTATAACGCCTAAATTTTTAAAAAAAGTAGGGCACAAACACATTGAAGGACATGTTAAATACTATGCTATAAATCATTTAATTCATCATTTCCTTATTCTAACAATTCACATCATGGCATTATCAATAAAAATACAATATCACACATACCAAAACACATTCACTGTAAACATCCATGATCCAACAACAATCAATGAGCACTACAATTTTCATTTTCAAAATATCCCACTTTGTAACCCTAATTTTCGTCAATTTCAAAGTGCCCGAATGTCATAACCCCATTTTTCATCACATTACTTTCATATAGAAAGTTTATTTCATGTCCTATGTTATATGTTCAGAATAGTGATTATAAATTCGATATTATGCATTTGACCCATTTCTCTTTGAAATTACAAAAAATAACTTCCTTAATTATAAAGTTATTTTACAATTTTTCAAAAAATATGAAAAAAAATCTCAAAATGTGTCTTCCAGCGTGCCTCTAGTGTGTCGGTTGCGTGTCTCCAATGTGTCTGCAATAACCAAACCAAACCAAGCCTTATATCCTAATCATTTGGGGTTGACTATATGTGTCCGTTTTTGCCATTCATTCCGATCATACACAAGTATCAAAATTTTGTTTAGGTGCATTATTTCGATCACCTAGGAAACGGAAACATTTCAACATGTTTTAAAATGTTTTGCTCTGTTACAGAAATATAATAAAAAAAATAAAAAAATTAAGAATTATTTTTTCAAAACATTAGTCGAAATATATTAAAGTATCTTGAAATATTTCTAAATAATTCTACAAATGCATTGAAACATTATAAAATACCTCAAAATATTATGAAACATCTCGAAATATTATAATTTCGATTCCATCATTGATTTGTTTCGGTCTTCTTGAAAACAAAAACGTTTCGACCATTTCAAATCAAAATTTAGATCATTGATCATGTGCTATACGTTCATTTAAGTTATATATTTTCATATATTTTATTATTATTTCATTCAATGTTTATTTAGATCTATCCCTACTTCTAATACATTAGAATTATTGAGAGTAAAAGGGATGTACAAACTGAGTGCAGAGTTGGTATATACCAAATAAGAGTGCAACTGACCAAAATACTTCTCTAGTATAGGTAAGACATAAAAACCATAGGAAGGACAATAAAGGCAAAAAAGTAAAAAGCTAATAACTAGACTGTAATTCCAACACTCCCCTTCAAGCCTGATGCAAAAATACCAATTAAGCCAAGTTTGACAACGAAGTCCCGAATAATGGATGAAGTGATAGGTTTGGTGAAGACATTTACAACTTGATCACTAGTCCCCACAAACGATGGGATGATAATACTACAACTGACCTTCTTCCAAAGAAAATGAATATTGATCTCTATATATTTTGTCCTCTTATGTAGTACAAAGTCAGAAGCGAGCTGAATAGCATATCGGTTATCAAAATATAATATAGATAAAGAAGTTACTAGAAATCCCAACTCGCTAATAATAGATTGTAGCCAGATAATCTCACATGTGTCAAGTGCTAGTGCTTGATACTCTATCTGTGCTAATGAACGGGAGGCAACTACTTGCTCCTTGCTCTTCCAAGAAATAAGATGAGTCCCTCGAAAAACACAGAAACCCATAGTAGATCGATTGTCACAAGTTTCCCTATAATCTGAATTTAAACAACAAGCTAGATGATCAATCTAAGACCCTGATGCATAGAACAATCCAAGTGTAGGACAAGACTTGAGGTACCGAAGAATATGATATATTGCATTCAGATGAGACTCATATGACTTGTTTATGAATTGGTTAACTCGGCTGATAGCAAATGAAATGTTTGGCCTAGTGTTGGCGCATATATCATTGTTTGGACTTATCATAGTGGATCAGACAAAATTTTATGTTGGCTGTCGGCTACTTAATGCAACCCTTCTTCTTTATCTTAACTTGGGACAAATAGTATTGAATACAACACTGGCGGAGTTCCCAATGTGCCTGGAAAAAAAAATTAGCAAAAAAAAAATTTAGTGTGTCCGACGTGTCTAGGTATGTCTGTCCCAGATGTGTCTGACAGTGACACTGTGGCCAAAATGAAGTGTTCGTTCTTCCTAGGTTATTAGCTACCAACCTTTTGTAGATTTCATATATCTCATGTTGGAAAAGTGCAACTCTGTTAAATCAGGTGATCCAACGAAGATGGCACTGGTTAACATCAGAACTATGCTTCCTCCTATTCGAATGCTTGAACAATGGTCTGGGAACCTCACTGCTTTGCTACCACGACTTTCTGTAAGAAGTGCTTGCTTTCCTTTGATTTCCTGGATCTTGTATTTCTTCCCATACTGCATGAGACCTTTTCTTCAATTGAATGTTTCGGTTTCTGTTTTTTCTATTTCTGTGATTGTAGTCACGCTTTTAGTTGCAACAATCCAATTTCTGTATGGTTTGGTTACTGCCGTCACAAAGAGCTCATACTTCTGGAGCTCTATCTTTCTTATGTTCAGTTTGTCGCTGTTATTAGTTGACATTTTGAATCCAATTTTATACTCCTGAAATTTCAATCTGTTTGTTCTTCTTTTTCCGTCCTTCCCTCATTGGGTAATGGCTATGTTTACTGTATAAGCTGCTGGGATGCATGAGTGATGCAAAGGTATGAATGCCCCATTGGTGCTTACAAATGTACGAAGCATGCAAATGGTGGGTAGTGGCTAATAATCTTCATAGACATCCACTAGCTGCAAGGATCAAATTTTGTTTCAAATCCACCTAAACAAAACTTTTTGATTCAGTGGAAATCAAAATGAGTCATTTTTGAAGATCGAAAATCCTATGTTTCAGAGTGCTTAGGGTTTTTTAAGATATTTTGGGATGTTTCGGCCATTGTTTTGAAATATTTTGGCCTATGTTGTGGAATACTTATTTTTCTTGGTGTTTGAAACATTTCCTAAATGTTTTCTACATGTTTCTATTTCCAAACTAACCCTATGCACTGGGACAAAATTTTGACCCCTAACTAGGTGGTTGCTTTCATTAATAGAATTATTATTTGAGCTAGAAATGTGGTAATGGATGTTCATGAGGATAGAATGATTTGAGTTTATTCCAAGAGATAAACTATGCTGGTTAACTATGGAAAGAGTACCTCTTATTGCCGGTAGATATAATCAAGACAATGTATGGATAATTTTCCAATTTAAGTAGCTTAAATGAGGCAGAGGAGCATTGATGTCTGCAACCTTTTTTCTTAACTCATTAGTTACTATTAATAACTTGCCAAGTTTTGTGTTCCAGATTTTTATTGTGAAATCAATACATGAGAACGAAATTAGAAGGATCTTTTGTGGTAGTTGTGGTAATAAGAGCACATTTGACTTCTTTGTTCTAATTTCAGAATAGAACTGAATTGCTGGTTGCTCATTTCTTTTGTTGATGGACGGAAGTCCATGTTGCTTGAATACTTTTGTCACTCTTAAGGGGTTGTAAATGCTTGAATCCTCTAGTTCAACGATCTAAATTTTATTTCGGTGCACTGTTTCGATCACCTAGGAAACGGAAACATTTTGACGTGTTTCGGAAATATTACGACTCATTCGGAAACAGTATTAAAAAAAAAAATTAAGAATTATTTTTTCAAAACATTGGTCGAAATATACCAAAGTATTTTGAAATATCTTGAAATATTCCGAAGTAATTGTGCAAATATATTGAAACATTACAAAACACCTTGAAACATTATGAAACACTTCGAAGTATTAGAATTTTGATTTCATCACTGATTCATTTCGGTCTCCTTGAGAATGGAAACGTTTTGGACTCCTTGGAAACAAAAATGTTTAAGATGTTTTGACTGTTTTGAATCTTTGCTCTAGTTATGGAGTTCTCAACTTATTTTCTCTATATGACTGTAGAAACCAATCCAAACAAAAAAAATGGTCATACTTGTTATTTGTTAAATTATTGTAGTATATTAGTATAAATGGGAAGTTTAATCATTTACTTTATTTTCTTTCGC